ATGAATCTATATTAATATATCAGTTACCTTAGTAAGTGTCGATCAAGCGCTGGTTTGACGATATGACTCATCATTAGTAGAAGTTTTCAGTCTTTATTGATCGATCATTACGTGGGTTTAAAAATGCTGTGTATACTGAGTAAAAATACGAGAAGCCGTAATCAGACCACGTCGTCACAAAGAGAATTACCGCTACGAGCTATGCACACAGAAGGACTCAGTAAATGATTCAGTATAGTCAAAAGTTAAAGGTAAAAACACTGAAATTGCTAAGAAGGGCTTAGGATATGTTTCGAGAGTTTGTTACGGTAAATATTTTGTTCGGGTTTCGTGTTACCGAATGTCGGGGTGGACTAGCTTAGTAGTAGCCGACTCGAATGGCGTGGGCCCGTAATCTGACTTTTACCCTACGAGATGGCACGAGACTTGGAGACAGAGCACGGAGTAAACTTCTCTTTAAGCTTTCTTTAATCTTGAACAACAGTACTCTAGCACACGGCTAGTTGGTCTCTAAATTACAATAAAGCTTGGGTTCGATTTATACTAGATCCCTCGTACAATATTAATTACCTAAAGTTATTTGTTAGCCAAAACAATCATAAACTAACGACGCGTAAAGCTTAACATCCAATCACAATGATAATAGCGAAGATAAGCTAACATACGCAAAACACTATTGGCTGGAACTATGACGCTAAGTAAAGTGTGCAACTGGTGCTACCAGTAACTTTTAGCACTTTGCAGTTCCTGGGCGTCGCTTGTTTCCAGATAGTGACGCTACTGAATTATAGATAACTTGCAACTGGTAACTTCTAGAAAAACTCTAGGCTAACTCGCTATGTTTATGTTATGACCTGATATGTTAAAGCTTGTTATGATATTTTAGCCAATTTCCAACTATTCCCAATTTTATACAATAAATTACCAATTTGTTTTCCCATTGAATTTGTTTAATTTTCTCCCGTTACAAGTTTATGAGAACCACTACGTYAAATGCGACGTAATTTCCTGCGACACTGAATGTCAAGGTTGAAGATGACGTCATGTTGCCACTCATCCATAATATTCCTCGGTACATGACCACCGATTTCTCAGACGGGGGCGGTCGGGGTACCTGGCAGGGAGGGCATGGAYTTTTTTTAAAGTGATGTGGTGCTCATGAAGGATGATGAAACTAGTGATCTTCTGCACTATAAGTKGGTCAYTTGCGATCGCTTTCCCCGGTTCAGTGTTGTTAGGGCGATGTCTTCGCGTATTGCCAGGAAATCATGTCTTTTTGTGGTACGCAAGCAACATTGTCTCATTTTTTTTGCCGGAGATTGTAGGAAAATKATCCAGTAATATAAGGACATGTACAGGGTTCGCGTCCTTGGTGGGTCATGGATCATACGCGAAATGACTASTGTTGTTTTTATTTTTATTTTTTGATGTTGTGCTTTGGTCTCTCCGTTCAAGGGCGTTTCATAATCAAGGCAAGCTTATTTAGTTCTCCCAGTAAAGAGAGACTTGARATTCTCACGTAGGACATGAGATACATCTCAATGGTGTTTCATTGTATCGATTCCAATAAAACATAGGAAAACAGTTGAGGTTTTTTTACATTTATTCAAGCCAGACAYAGGAGAAAACAAAAACCTAACAGGAATAATGCTCTATGATGAAGAGAGGCTCACTGTGTTCAACAACAACAAACGTTTTCTATATATGAAAAATGAACTTATATAAAACTATTATAAATAGAAACTCTATTTAACTGATTTAGTTGTAATAAATATTTTTAATAGGGTGGAGTGTTATCCTATAAATTTCAAACGTGCTTGTAGTTGTCTAAGGAAGCAKTATACTGCAGCAGTCAACTGAAATGAAATCGCTTCATGTTTTGTCTTATTTAATAGCAGTTCATTCGGGACTTTGTGTTCGCGTTTGTGCCATTAGAAGATGTTGCCGAGCTGTTGTTTGTGTTTTTGAAAGAACCTTCCGTGAGGAGACTGCTTGTTGCTTCAGCCTTTTTTCCAGGGATTCTGCGTATCATTTCCAGTCAGGACGATCCACAATGATCTTAATGAACATCACGTCATCCCGTATATAGGCGTGCCTTTGTAACTCGCTGTGCGGACAAAACATCGGGCATCCCGATGCGATGTTCATGGCTCCCCTCGGTTTCTGGAATGAGCTGCTACTTGGGTCCGGCCTGAAGGCATCAATCACGTGTTCTTCATTGTCTTGATCCAACAGCATCATTGTAACCTTTTGTCTAAACGGCCATTTTAACAGAGGGTCGTACTCTCCACGCATGATCACAAAGAACAAGCTGATGTGGGTACCTTTACCCATTCCATCACCATTCAAGTAGATACGAGCACACATCTTGTACCCATGAGGGTCTGTGTAGAATGGCGGGCTGTAGAACGAGACTTGTCGTCCACTTGTTGCATCAGCACGTTTTCGTGCCACCTGATCGATCTTCCAGACCAAGATACCGTCAGTACTGTTATTAACAACACCGTTCATCTTCTCTTCAAGATCAGCCACAGCCAAATTTCGTATTCCTGCAACGTTTTCTTGCTCTTCCAAACGACGTTCCATCTTTTTTATCAATTCCTCCGCTTTTTCCAGTTTAACGTTCGTCTTTGTGAGTTCTTGACGAAGTTCTGCGATCGTTGTGTGWGCTTCGTTTARCAGAAATTCGTGATCTGCATTCTTGGCATCCGCAGCATCCATTCGACGAGTGATTTCTGGTGTAATTTGCACATTCTGTCCTGACGACRTTKCACCTTTCTTTTCCAAGTTCGCTATCCTTTCTTTCAAYTCATCATAAATCACCGTAACTTGAGCGAGGGTCTGATCACACATTGATCGCACAATCTCGGACAGTTTTGACTTTCTGCCATTTTGACTTTCTGACAACAGATCTTCTAGATATGGTAACAAATTCTGTATCTTGATAAGCATGAGATTGAGGTGGCTTTCAATGTTTTCGTGTTGATGTTTGAGACGTTCATTGTGGGTCATTGCCTGTTGGAGAAAATATATAAACTGAGAAAGGAACATCGGGTATAGAATGACAAGTGAAAAAAAGAAATAAGGAGAAAAGAAGAAATAATAATCAAATGATGGTTGCGGTAAGAAGCAGAAGGCTCGACAAAAACCTGGCGAGGTAGAAAAGAATGTAGTGCAGCAAAGCAACAACGACATTAAGGCCTCTACATTTATTGGTAACAAGCACTAAGCAATTGGAAGAAAGGACGATGCCAGAGATCAAAATAACGAGATAAATTGGAGTGAATATCCCAATTCAGATGTGTTTCGAAAGGCTCCGAGTCCGCGTAAATTCCTTTAACTTTATAGATCTTCTCCTTTTCTCAGGTCAAAYCTACAATTTATTTTAGGCACGTTTTAGTTAGACACCTTACCTTGGACTCCTTGCATCCTACAGCTTTGAATGGACACAATGTAACAAGCTTTTCGCATATGTCGACACCATTAGGGTCTTTGTGCTTAATCAACTGCAGATATAAATAACAATCAAGATTACGGACAAGTTTAAACCTTTGAAGAAAACAAATKTCATAGTATAGTCAGAATGTAAATGTACCAGTTCACGGGGAAAGTCCTTCTTACAAAATTCACATGTTGCGAGGAAATTCGGACAGAAATCTTCGTGTTCCTGAAAAGTAATAAAGAGGATTATTTGTCATTAACCGTGATTTTTTAATATATATGGAATGCATATAGTAGCATTGAGTAGTTCTCTTTAAATATTTCATAATAGAGTGGATTTCGTATGAGTGGGACACCGTTACCGCACGGTTACCGCACAGTTACCGCACCTGGCCTGCAGAATTTTGGTGAAACAATGGGGCACTAGAATTTGGTTACAGTACGATTACGGACACAGTACAGTACCGTCCGTTTCCCACTCATACGAAATCCGCTCTATGGCAAAGAGAAGACAATTTTTCTTACCTTTATCTTACTGAATATCACAGGTTGTTCGCAGTACGAACACAAGACCTCTCTAAACAGACACTCATTCTGCAGATGGTGCGGTAGAGTTTCCTTTGTGACTTTTTTCTCACATCCACGATTTACGCAGGGYAGAGGAATAAACTTGCAGGTTTTATGATGCTCCTGGAAGCCATGAATTCAGAYAGTGAGATTGRTGTTATAAAAGGAAGATGCAACTTCCCAGTTAATGTTCCCAAACCGAACAGAAATGGTGGAAACTAGTTACTTCGTCGGAGTAAACAGTAAGAAATATCCAGAAATGTACTGTACTGATGACAATACGTAAGACCAAGGGCGCCAGGACAACCATAAMWGTTTTTGAATGATATTACGATTGTATTTGTTATAGCTTTGAGTATCGTAGAAATTCACTTATTTGTCAGATAAGTGAATTTCTACGATACTCAAAGCTATAACAAATACAATCGTAATATCATTCAAAAACTGTTATGGTTGTCCTGGCGCCCTTGGTAAGACTGTATGCAAGATGATTGGGATCCCTGGTTATGGGGAATAGCCGAGCCTAATATAGTGACCAAATATGGTAATCTTTGAATTGACTAAATATGGCACGATCCCAAAACGCAATGTGATACAAGGGATTTCCCAGTAGATCAATATATACAGCAATCCAATTCTAAAATACCTACCTGTCGATGTCTTAATTGTCCTCTCCATTTACACCCAATAATACAGTTAATACAGAACAAAATGAGAGTCTGTATCTCACGGTCCGCGAACTTGTCTCTGAATATCTACAGACGAAGAGGCAATGATTGTTGAAACTTATTATAATACGTGCTCACGAAATATTTCTGGAAACATTACCTTAGCTCTTGTGAGCGCTTCTCCGCAGATTTTACACTTTATTTCGCCATTATGCTTACTATAATAAAATATCAGACAGAAACGTAATATGAATCTAAGGGTCACTAAGATCCGCAATATAACAATTGATATTGTTATCAATCGAATACTTACTTAAACTCTTCTTCCAAGCAGTCAAGGCAATAACGATGTCCACATTGCGTCTGGATCGCAGTCTTTAAGACGTTGCTGCAGATACCACAAAGATCTTTGCTGTGGATATTTCGACGATCTTCTTCACAGATTCGATAACCACCAGTAGTCATTAGAAGTGCTATAGAACAAATATAAAGACCAATAAAGAGACTACCGCTTACTATATTTCATGCAAACCTTAATAGTACTTTTTAACGAGTTTTAAACACCATTTTAATTCTTCCAATTTTTGCACTTTCGTGACTGAGCAATTTCACATATTTGACCTTAGACGTGCATCGATGAAATGACGTACGGCACGTACGTAATGATACATATTTTTGGTACAGATTGGTACGAAATCATCTACACACTGTTTACAGTGTATATGATTAATTTATTTTATATGAGAAAAATATATGACTCTTTTTATGACCATATATAAGCAAAACTAATGTCAATCGTTTTAAATATAAATAACTATTGCGCAACAGACAGTGGTGACGAAAGTGTTGCATAATATAAAAGACGTGACAGTCCGTAAATAGACGTAAATTGTCACACTAGAGTCGTGCTTCTAGTTGTTGCCGGAACATTGACAAGGGAACATAGAAGTCTTCGATTTGGTGCGAGGCATAGCACACGCAAACTTATGTCTTTGCATCAACGAATTTGATTTTTAAATACGACATTGACTGAACAAAACAGATTTGCAAAAATTCTGTAAAAGTAACTAATCATTTTCAAAGGGAAGGTGGTTGGATAAAACTGTGAACGCAAAATGTCTGGCGGAGATTGCACAACCGAAATGAGCAATGGATTCCCCGGCATGGGTTTTACTAAATAATAGGAAATAATAAGTGATATACTGTAAGATCGATCGCCTATGTTGCACGAACATTGGCTTTCAGTTTAGTCTCCATTTTCATGCAAGATGAAACAAGTGAAATATTAACTAATAACGATTTAGAGAAAGTATTTAGAATAGAAATTAACGTAAGTGAAATATTGCAGTTGAAAATCATGCCGGCATAGTTCGACATCGCCGTAGTCGCCGCTCTTCCGACATAGTTTTTTTTTACTGAATAAGCATTGAGTTAGTAGAAATAAGTGTATATCATAAGTACTGACCTCAGCTTCTCTCTCGAGTGTATCAATTTTACGTTTAACTTATCACAGACTAGATTGCAAATGACTTTGCGCTATGTGAGTCCGGGTTCCGTTTACACATTAAATTGCTGACCTCACTAGTAATCAGTACAATTTCGTCATCAAATTAGTCAGCAAATAGCCTCACTCATAGCCGGTTATTATCCGGTTAAAACGCTGCTGTAAGCGAGGACGACTCAGATCGTCAAGGATTTAAAAGAACATTTTATGTCACTAGGATTAAAAAAAAGTTTTCGTAAGTACTAACCTCAGCTTCTCTCTCGAGTGTATCAATTTTACGTTTAAGTTATCACAGAACCAGATTTCAATGACTTTGCATTATGCAAGCAAGTCCGTCTGCTGACACATAAATTGCTGACGTCATCAATACAGCAAAATAGTCTCCCTCACAGCCGGTTATTCCGGTAAAACGCGCCTGTAAGCGAGGACTGAGGAATTTGATCACCTTGTAGTAGGGGATTCCCAGAAAATCAATTGATGACATCGAGTTCTACGTCTGTGTCATCTCCTCTACTAACTCAACTGACCAATATTTAAATAGGGAAGACATTAGCATTTCTAAGTGTTTTTTGAAGTCTCGGCGAATAATTCAAACTAAATATGATGATTAGATTTGGTTCGTTGTACGTAAAGAATTAGTTACTTCTCAGTTTTTATCATTTATGGATAAAAAGATTATTATTAATCATCAATAGTAACGTACTTGATATTTATTCAAGAGATACAAAATGAAGCAGCGACGCTGACGTTATTGTTCGGCAACTATGTGACGGATCACGCAATGTTTTATAAGTACTATAAGCGGCGTTTACACGAGCAATTTTTCGTTGACAAGTTTTCCCTGACATGGAAAAATTGCTCTTGTAAATGGGGTAAAATGGACAGCTCACTTTTCCTTGACAAGGAAAAATTGTCAAGGGACAATAACGAAAATATGGCGATCACTCACAACAAACAAAATGGCGGAAAAACTTGTCAAGGAAAACTTGTTCTTCGTTTACACTAGCAAAGAAACATTGTAAAGGAAGAATAGTTTCCTTGTCAAGAAAATTGCTCGTGTAAACGGCGCTTTTAAGCGTACAATCAATCCGCTTGCAGTCAATATAACAAATATAAGGACCAAAAACAATGTAAAAAATCCCAGACAAGTATTTCCTTGTAGATACTTTAATTTTGCATTTCTGGCATTCATACTTCTAAGTATAACTGGCTTCCGCCTGTTTCGAAAGTCTCAAGTATAGAGTACACATTCAGTGTGAAAACGAACTGTGCACATATTCCAAAGATGCAAATAAATATACCCCCTCGATCGCATTCAAATAAAAATGTTTTAGTGAGAATTTTGTCTTGTTTACTTTATGTCACTAGACTATTATATATATCATGTTCCCTAGCCTGTGTTACAGCTGGAACTTTTGGAACGTCGGCTGTAAAAAAGGCTATATTAATTATGTTAATGCTTACTGTGAAATGTATAATACACATGGTCTGCATGGTACTACAGATAATTGCCATAATATATATCTGCATAGTTTGCTGAAGAAGGCCGAAGAGCCGAACGTCCTTATTAACTTCAAGTTGGTATTTTGTCTTACTTCCTTCTACTTATTATAATCTACGTACAGTGATATATTTGGCCTGACTATTTCTGTATATTGGTATGATATGCTTGGCTTGACTTCAAATCATTCTCGTATTCAACTTCTCAGTAAAAAAACTACTCAAACCTTCTCTCAAACCCTTATGAACATAAAATAACATGTTGAAGATGTTAGAATTTAATATATGCAAGAGAAAAGCAAACTACATCTTTAAAATACATACCAAATCAGTTAGAATTCTATCCTTCTCAAGTGTGTTTACATACTGACATTTAAAAATAATGAAAGGGGTCGACGGCTCCCTAGCAACATATCAATCTATATAAATATTCATGCCATCGTCTTTACGAAAATGAGGTAGCACCATGTACGTACATAATAAACTGAAAGAACGAGTGATCCGTTTAACATTACTCAGCAAGCACACCAATCTCACATAATCAGTTCTGCCGATGGCATAGTTTTATTAACTCACCATACGTTGGTAAAATTAAGAAAATCTTTCTTTTCGGCTGTGTGAATTCTCACTATAAATGTTATCATCAGCGAGGTAGCAGAGTTCTCTCAAACTTTGTACTTGTATGATTCTCAAGAACATACAAAGTACAACATCACGCGGCACATCATGTTTAGAAGCCGAATGAAGGTCACTTTTTGACGCAATCATGTGCTTATTTTTTCATTTTCTCGTTTTTAATAAATGCACCACGTAATAAGAACCACAATTACCACGGATTCAGTTATTTTTGTTTGTTTGTTTCACCTGTCATGGCATTTTAGGCTTGTTTCAGCCTAAAATTAATTATTTTTTTACGACATCCAAATCGAGGACTTAAGCTGTAAAAAAATAATTGTAAACAGCAAAAAATGGGAAATGAAAGTATTAATTTTGATCGGGGATTCCCCTTTAGTACTGATGACGTCATGGTAATTCTTAGAAAATATCGACATTCATGTTTTCAAAATAGGTTTAAAATTACTGATATAACGAATAAAGAGATCGATCAGTAAACGACGACTGACTGAATATGTATATAAATTGAACGTGGCAATGACGAACCAAGTGCTATGACCACTAAAGCAACGTTTTTATGTCTCAACTCGGAAAAATGCCGATGAAAATACAATTATTCCTCTGGTTTTTGAGAGAAAGTCCGTTTAAACGATGATTGGCGAGTTCTTCGCATCCATTTTGTAAACAGGTATTTTATCTGCTACGTATACTGACACGAATACACTATTTTGCTATAAGCACGAAAGAACAGATCATCAATTCGAAATTCACATCATTTCGAATAATTCTTTTGCTGTAGATATGAGGAAGTACGTTGCCAATATCGGACTATGTCGACTAAATAAAGGATTGATATAGTTATATTACGATCTGTATTGTGAAAAGTGGATATTTTCTAGCTTTTTCAGTTCCCATGGTTGAAATTTAAAAATAGAAATGATTATTTCATCTATAGGTCTTACCGCGTATTGTCGAAGTTGCCTTACAAGATGTTGCGCCAGTCGATAATTTTCCCGGCAAATTATCGAGTGAGTTGACTCAGTAGTTAAAACCCTGGCCCGGTTAACATGTTTTTAACATTGGCATTTTCCCATGTGTGTTTTACAAACCAGTTTAAGCAGCGTTTTGGCTAGTTTAGTGTTTTGGCTATAAGAGTAGAAAAATTGCATGGCATCTACTCTTTATCTTAATCGTAGTGACGACATCGACGAGTCTGATGAGTGGGCGCAGACATTTATCACTGAACATACATGGAAATTTTCAAATATGTTTCGGAAGAGCTAGGAGGAGTTTTCTCTGTGTAGCTAGATAGACTCTGTCGTGCGACTTCCATATATAGATGTCCATATACATGGCTATGATGTCCATATAGAAGGCTCTCTTGGCTCGACCCTTATGTGTACATACGTGGTTATTCATGCATGTCGTTGCATAAAATATCACAAAAAACATCAATCAAGTGAACGATGTCTTGATAGTTATTAAAGTTTAAGAAACATATAGGATCGGTTAGGTAATGCATAGAGCTGGTTCGAACCTTAAAAAATTCTTTCAGCGTTGGTACATGCACAGCTATATATGGAAAAAATGGAAGTCGTAGGACAGAGCCTCGATTTTCCCACTCTTTTCTACGTAGGAGGAAGTTGAAAAAATATCCTCTGTTCGCAGTGCCAATGATTAATCAATTCAGTCGATCAGTTACTCGTCGGGAACTACAACCAAAGCAATACATTGCAATAAAAAAGCCTTCCCAGACTTCTTGTAGTTGGACTGGATAAATTATTCATTATTCAGTTTTCGTTCAACAACTCACACTAAGGTAAGTGTTTGCCGCAAAGTCTTCCGACAGCTGAAATACTTTACTTTTGCGGTTTAGACATAAACATGACAGAGTCATATGGAAAAATTCTCACCTTTAATCTTTTCCTCATTTCAACAACGTGCTATTTCGACTGTGTGACAAAACCGGGAGGAATCTAAAGATCCAGACGATCACGGAAAAACGTTTGTAGCTGCATGCGTCACTTAACTCTACTATTTTTTAGATTATTTATATTTCTCACTTTCGAAGGCTTGCATTGTTATTTAACATTTGATTTTCACATTCGAAGTACACTCAAAGATAAGTTTCGTGTACGTAATCTTTGCTGCAAGTGGGCCAAACAACTAAAATGACGACTAGTAGAATTGAGTACTGATAGAAGCAAACGCTTAATGAAAGGCCAACATAATCTTGTAAAAAGCGGAAGTCCATCCCGAAATGTCATGTCCAAAAATAGAGACAGAACAAAAATTAGTGAAATCACGCACAGACTTTGTAGCTTCATGTCTTTTCATGTGGTTTGATATCTAAAGAGAAGACATCGTTTTGGATGACGGATATAGTATTAATAGATGGCTATGTAAATGAGTTAATGAAGATTGTCACGCAACACCGCCACTGCGTGACAAGCTTCATCATTTACTGCGTGCTTCTGAGTCATACAGGCTTGAGACAAAAGAAACTAGTACCGGCAGAATTATGACTGCAAAGAAAGCTATTTGAAATGTGTCAAATTTTATTTCCCTTAGAAAAATTATCTCAAAACTTTCAAAGGCATATGTACTTAATTCAGAAATTATAGTGACTTTTTACAAAGCTGAATTGAGAAAAACTTGTAAGCTTATAATAACTTATCATCCAAATTACTGAAAGTATTTCAGACTTATTAAACTTATATTACTTCAGTGTAAATTACAACTTAATACCCTATCAGTTGTTTAAGTTTTGAATTCACTGAATAAATCTGAAAGAATAGTTTTATAGAAATATTAGAGCATTGTTCTGGGAAATCAAATATGCCATGTGCTTCATGCTTGTTTGAGAGTTCACATTTTGAACAAACTTTTAAAGCGAATAAACTGATTCAGAACAGCAGAAGAAATCAATGCATCAATGTTTCAGATCATTATTGAATTTATAAAAAAAATATAAAATACCTTACCCTCGAGAAACGTCGTCTTAAAATCTGATTACTGAAGTTCGATAAGACACGTGTGCTGCCCGCACTCACATCCAGCGGAGAATCAATCGAAAGTGTTCTTGGGGTTAACTTTTCGTGATTGGCTCTAAATTACCTTCAGCCACCCGAATAATTAGTCCGGCATTTTTAAAACATTCGTCTAATTCATCTGGCTCTTCTCGAAAGTCCCCTATCCCAATAACAATTTGCTCCGCGGTGCCTGTCAAGCAGAAGACTGTTGGGGGGGGGGGGGGGGGGATGGGGCAGTATTTGTTTTTAGTTCAGCGTTTCATACAATTATTTTATATGCAAGTGCACGGTGACATATTTTCTACTAATATGATTTCAATTGCTATTCATCTGATTTCTATAATAAATATATAAAATATAAGCGGGAGACCTTTACGTATAGTTTAAAACACGAGAGAGAGTGTTTTATCAGGTATAAAGATTCGAGCCGAAGGCTTAAAAAACTCCAACACTAATTTGAAACTCAAATACGTTAAAATTCTTGGAGAAATTGCCGTAMAAATATGTTCAGAGATAAATGGGGCAAACTGATCATGCGCGAATCACTTTACAAAGCACTCTTGTAATCCCACATTGAATACGCATAAAGTAAAATAGAAGGGCTCTTGTCTGTTTATTGAAATCGGTTGACATCCTGCATTGGTCAATGATCAGGTTTCAAACCTGAGACCTTTGCTAGGGTCATGGACCTTTATATCTGATAAAGGTCACCCTTATTAGTATTCTTTATATAAAGAATACTAATAAGGAGTGTTTTATCAGATATAAAGGTCCATGCATGTGACCAAATAGGCTCATTCTATTGGCCTAGTAGCCCATTAATTATGTATGAGTTTTTTAAAACATTATAAGAAATATAAAACTGCGAGCTGCAAATCTCTTACTAATATAACGATGCGGTCGCGACAATGATTTCCCATTGTCTTTAGCTTGCAGTTTTCCATTTCATCAGTTGTTTCTAGTATCCAGCTATATATTACAAATCTACAAAATATCGATCTCTGCAACTACGGAGGTAATCTAAGTCGTAACGGTGATGTTTAGATACTAGCGTAGTAAGATTTAAAAACAGATGACGTCATTTGATGTGAAAATAAATTCAAGTATAAACAAAATGGTATCATTTCTTCTGGATTCTTTTGGTTGAGTTTACTTTTAAGTTCGTTTCTAAATGACCCTGAAGTGAAATTAGAAGAAAAAATCAATTAGATGATTACCAACATCATTAAGTAGGTATCTCTAAGATACAGGGAGCCCAAAACCCTTTTTTTTAGCCTCGACTCATTCAATTCTGCTCATTGTTCGTTCTGGAGGTACAGACTTGCCGAAACTTTTCCACGCAACGTTTTTGGACAAGACCATAAAACGGAAGAATCCCAATGGAAATCAATAATTTCACAGGCCTCTTTCTTCACGTCAAACAATCCAAACTTCCCTTAAAAAAATAGACGGATCCAGCTGGACTGCCCATCCCCTTATTGAACCAATTACCCTTTACCCTTTTTCCTTTGTAGTCCGTTTTAGCATTGCACCACGCCCGTCCTCAATTGTGACCTCTAGCCCACCCCGAAGAAAATCCTCGATGCAACCCGTCTGAATACTGCGTGAAATAGACTTTGTCTTTAAAAACATCATGGTGCACTGTGGTCTAGCTTCATTAAAAACAACACTATTTGTATTTGGGCATAGAAACCACAGATGTTTGCACTGAATCTAGACCATAATGCAACGCGTGATGTGTTTTAAACACATTAAAATGCCATATTACCTTCACAGCCGCGCCCACCGCAGTCACATCAAGCAGAAAGGTATCGTGCCCATATATTGAATTCAACTCGTAATATGTCACACTCTGGTTTCCTGTTGATAAACCAAATGAAGTTCATGATAAAACGGAGTTTATCTTTGAATTCCGGTGGCGGTTTTGTCTTTAAGGCCACCAAATTGTAATTATTTAATTCTAGATGCTCCGTCCAACCCAAACCGTCAAACAATAGACCCAGCCCACACCAAAACGAAAGGAATTCTTCATGGCCAATACCAGGGGGCCAATATTCCCTGCAGTCCGCTCCTCTCTCGTTGTAGTAGCCAGAGCCACCCCCTGCCCTTCCGTTTTCCCCCTCCCCCTTCCCCTAGAGCCGCCACGCAGGCTATCGTTGTAGTTCACGACGCGACAAGTGATCGATTACGCGTCGGGAACTACGGCGAGACTCTGCAGGAATGGCAAATAATATCGTAATATGGTGGAGGAGACTAAAAAATATACCAGGGATAGTTCTTAACCAGCTCTTTATGTGCCTAAAAAGTCTCCTTCGCAACAGTGTGAGGGACCAGGGACCGATAGTCGTTTTGTTGCAGCATTTTTATGTCTCATATACGGTACTTATAACAACAGAAGCAAACGTACCGCCTTCTTGTAATAACTGAAAAAGCTCTCGTTGCTGACTTATTGGAAATAGTACGTCGGATTGCACGCCAATAACCTGTAAAAGAAACGAAATAAATGTCTTTTTTGTATTGTCATTGCAGATTCTGGTCATAATTTCTTAAAAATCGACAACATGGGCGTCAACATTGGATGGGTGAGGGGGAAGGGCGGATCTAGTCAATTAAACGCGTCTCTTTCTTTAAATTCTTATGCGAATGACAATAATATAAATAGAACTTAAAATTTTTCCTATCAAACCTAAGTAAATAATTATCAACATACCAACGTAGGGCATTGTAGTCTCGATGTCCCTTCTTTTAGAGAATCAAATCCTTCACCAAGGTCAAACAGGTCCATTGCCTACCATTAGTACAATAGAAAGTTAAAATTGTTTTTTCCTGGGATTTGAGTTAAAAAGAACATTGCGGATAACGCTGAATGATTGTCTATTCTTCTAGTGGTAACGATGTGGTCAGTGGTTCTTTTGTGTCCCGCGATCAGGATATAAAACGTCTAAGAAAACGGGCCACCCGCCTGTCGTGTGACTTGAAAACACAAAGACTACAATTTATCGGCAGATGCTTTTCAGTCAAATCCTTGAATAGCAGTCTAGCCAGGATGGAAGCCTGCCTTCCGAATAATAGATCGGTACTTTACAAAGTGACAAAATCGAATGTTTACAGACGGGCAATTATTTAGAAACATAATTCATGTGACAACCTCACGAATAAGATGTCATATAAACACGTGATCCAAAGCACAATATAGTAGGAATGGCATAAGCCTTACCTTTGATATATACAGCAAGGAATTAGGGTCATACTTGGCACAAAAGGAATCACCCTAAAATTGTACCAGAAGTTTTATTAATCAGTTGGAATGGCGCTATTGATGCTATGGCTGTTGCGTCTTTTCAATTTTCGCGGCGAAAAAGTGTGATATGGAAATTAAAGCGGTCGGAAGCGAAGCACTTGTGGGTCGGAAATGGAATACAAGGAGAACGACCTTTTTGACATTATTTGTGTTTTCTAATATACCCAAGTATTAGATTTCACCGATACTAAAACGCAATCACATTCACAAACGTAATCACTAGCCGATTTACAGTATCTGAGTATAGGCACATTCCAATTCATGTTGTGTACAACTCACCTGGTAATCTAAATAGCTTTCAATTTCAAATTCTGGACAAAAATTGGGTTCAATTTTACTGTTGGATTCTATTCTTTGCCTTCCAAATCGTTCTTCCCACTCTGGTCCACTTCGGTAAGTAATGGTAGCCACTTCACTAAAAATCCAAATCAAATCACCTTCACTAATAAATACCAAACTAACCAACTACCATTACAAACTTACCGCGCATGCTTCATGCCAAGTCTTGGAAAACGACCATTATAATAGAAGCCTTTGTTCCAGTTAGGGTCACTCATAAGGACACGCCTCTGTACGTATCTCATGGCAATGGACGCTGGATGTGACTGTGCACATGCTGATATGGACACTACTCGTCGCACCCTGTCAGGGTACATACAGCCAGTCATTAGTGACGACATTCCTCCCAGAGATGAACCAACAACACCATGTACCTGAGAAAAACAATCCATAGTGTAGCAATGTCTAGTTGTTGTTGTTTTATTACATGTTTGTTTTCTTTAGTTGGTGCGTCCAGGGATTGCATAGGACCTTTTCTTCCTTTTAATATTTTCTCCAAATTTGTGTCCTTTTAATTTGTGTTTTCTCCAAATTTGTGTCCTTTTAATTCAAGAAGGTGACTGAATCTCCTTTTTTTGCCTGATTTGCAGTTTTGGGGTAGGAGAACACAAGCATGACACAGCACCAGGTCAAGATTATAAATCTAGATCCCTGACCCCTGAACCCACCCCCTAGTGCAACTTGTACCCCTTACTGAAGAAAATCCTACTTCCGACAATATATTTGCATAAAATATTAGTTTTCATGGGTCAAATGATCAAATACCTTTTCAATTCCAAGAGAGTCCAGAAGTAAGAACTGTGCCCTTATCATATCTTTGACRCTCACTATTGGGAATGTAGTTGCGTATTGCTATTTTGATAAGACCAAAAGTATGAGCTAACATAGATATACAATAACATAGTGATGCTTGAAATTGCTCTAAATAGTTGAATTGTAACTTGACAATCAACCTCATTACTTTCAAAGTAGAAGATTTAAGAGTATGCCATAATAGCATTACAAAAATAAATCACTAAACATGAAAACTTACCTCATTGGTAATTGGATTGATTGTAGATGGTCCACTAATAATTATAAAATTAAGTTATTTTAAAGGGAATTATGAAAAAAAGACCAGACCATGTATGTGAAGAAAATTGATAAATCGATTTGATTTCTTTCAATGACGATATTGAATAAACATTTTGTACCTTGAGCCATAACAACCCCCAATAACATTACAGCAAACAATGAAGAATTTATCAGT